CTATCATATGAAGATGTATAAGGGATCACGAAGTCCCTATCATATTATCACGTAGTCCCTATCATATTATCACGAAGTCCCTATCAAGTGAAGGTGGGGTGAGGATATGAATAATCATATAGAAACTGACAGGTAATTAAAGTATAAAATATAGTCTCCAGTCAGACATAACCTGGTGAGATGTCTTTAAATATTCATTGCCCCACTTTGTCTTTTATATCTACATTTTTATTGCCCTTTCAATGCACAATTTCACATCTGGCTTTGTATTGGACTAAAATATAACCTTGTAATATATTATAAAGTACATATCAAAAAGGATATCTTAGACTTTTAATTATTATATACCTCAAAGTTTGTTAATTGGCTAATTTCCACTTAAAAAAACCTTGCATAATGCTATTTTGTGTTGATGTGAAGTACATACAAGTACATTTGCAAAAAAGAAAGTTCTTTACCCCAAAATATTGATTTTGATTAGTTTTTGAACGGAACTCTGTTTAGTTTTTTTTTTCCCCATTTCTTTTCAACAAATTATAAGAATTATCTTCTTGTCTTCCAAAGAATAATGTAAACACATCTTTTGGAGAGTTCACACAACTAACATTCTTAAAGATTAAAGCCTTTTTTTGTTTCTTGCCAAATATTTCCATTATCCCTAATGATTAGTATGAGTCTGTTTTCTTAATCCCAGAAAGAGTTAAAGGGATTGTAAAGAGGTTTTTCTAAATTTTTTATGTGCATCGGGGACACTGATAGCTTCAATTTGCACCATTCCAATTTTCATTCCAACGTCTGTGGTTCTTGCAATTCCACTAAAATTAAGACATTTTATGACGTCACATTGTAAAGGTCTTTCCAACCTTAAATTTGTCTTCATTAAAATATTAATGTTACCTTCTTTTCTACTTTCAGAAAAAGCCTTTTCTATCACCTACGTCAGAATTCGATTCCATTCACCAAGACCAGAAAGTTTTGCCATTTATAAACGAAATGGAAACAACCCCTGGATCCCTTATCAATTTTACAGTGGATCTTGTGAGAAGACATATGGATTAGCCAGACGTGGAGTGATATTAAGAGATAATGAGGCAGTGGCTATTTGTACGGACGAGTTTAGTGATATTTCACCACTAACTGGTGGTAGTGTAGCTTTCAGTACTCTAGAAGGTCGACCTAGTGCTTTCCAATTTGAAGATAGTCCTATTTTACAGGTAAGGAAAACGTTTCTTTCAGTTTTTGGTAACTCTTGGTCCATCAGGATAACTTTTGTTTTAGTAATGCCTTAGGATATAGTCTAAGGATGTCTGCCCCATGGAAACATTCATTTGGCACCATTGTAGTACCGTAGCCAAAGTTTTTTGGCCCAAAAATGTATAGCTTGGTATGGCTACATTCCCCTATTTTGTATGGCTCTGAAGATATATGGTAGCTCTGCAATCAAACACATGCTCCTTGACCTTTACTTCTGTAAAATTTTCAACCCATTTCCTCCTGTCAGTGGTGCTAATCAGAGTGGTTTGTCATCTGAACGCTTCAATAGAATCTGAAGTCTTACAGAGATGATTCTACAAATTAAAAGTCATTCAACATTGAAAATTTAAACAATCTCTCATTAGGCATTATATGACTTGGTCTGTCTTCGATACGCCATTCTGAAGAAGAAAAGTAGTTAGGCTAGTTTATATGAAATCATGGATGCCTTAACATGGTGAAATCTGGCATTCACAAGCTCATGTCATATTAAGATGTTAATTCAGAGTAAATTTGATGTTGGTTTATATAGCACATGATGAGATCACTTCTACAATACAGAATAATATATTCCTAAACTCAAGGGTAGCTCTGTTAGTTTATATAGCACATGAGATGACTATCAAAGTGTAGAATAGTAAATCTCTAGACTCTAGAGGGTAGCTCTGTTAGTTTATATTGGATATTAAGTTCTGTTAGTTTACATAGATGATGAATCTCACACATGCCATTATCAAATATAAACCAGATTTCTCTATAGAACCTGTAGCGGGTGTATGGAAAACATGTAAGAATGGTGGCTACTGCTTAAATCATACGATGTTTACCTTATTGAACACTACATGGCAATACATTCATTCTTAGATCGTTTACAACCAATTAACAATAAAAAAAAAAATGCATGTTAAAGAAAATGTGTTTAAAGGGACACGTTTGCCATTTTGTAGGTTGATTTGAGTCTTGAATATAATTATGTTAATAGTCTTCAGAAGTACTAGAAATGTACAAAAATCTCTTCAAAAAACCTAAACCTAGAATACCCAGACAATATCAAGAACTAACCATCCAAACTTCAAAATGAAATCCAAATCGGTTGAGTCATTTTTAAAATCTGAATATTTTCAGAACATTTAACAGTACCGTACCACTGTTGCTTTCTATCTTAAACCGGAACTAGAATTTCACCTTCTTTTTGTAATGTCTTTTGTATATTTGAGTGATATATAAGCTTAAAGCATCTAATTAGCTATTTTCATTAGTCTTTTCCACCTGGGACATGTTCTTTAATCTGTTCATATTCTGAGAAAGTTTCTATATTTTTATAAGCCAGAATTTCCTCTTAGTCACAGGTCAGATTAGTCAGATTTATGTCATAGGCCTACAATGCTTCTGAAAATGAAAGTGACTTATTAACTGATAGAAGCTTCCCTAAAGGAAAATATTTGACTTCTGTAAGTTGATAAGTTTCTTGAGTGAAATATTTCATAGGAAATGATCTATTTCCTGGTGAAAAAAAGTTTCTTTGAGAAAAGTTGAAAGTGAAAGGAAATAGTTTGATAGTTTATGATTCATTGACAGATGTCATCCTGGTCTTAAAAACTCTTCTCAAAAACTTTATTGAGTTTTTTTAACAAGCAGAATTTCTTGCTTTTTTGTGCAGGCTTCTTATTGCCATTTATGGTTTCTATTTGATAATTCTTGTCAGACGTCTGTGGTTCTTGCAATTCCACTACAATTAAGTGCTTTATGACATCACTATTGCTAACGCTTTTAACAATATCTAAGGGATTTTGTGATACTGACATCATCAAACGCTTAGTTTTAGAGGAATTACGTAATCCATACACTCAGTGGCAGAGCCAGGTTTACGTCCGAGAAAATATGAGGCGATTATCTGAGATTGCCCGAAATTCTAACCTAGTTATCAGATTTTTGCCTGAAAAACTTGCTTTCTGTAGGGACAGCTGCCTGCCCCCTCTGCCCCCACTTTTGGCCCCGCCACTAGCTAGCTTATAGAAAATATACTAAGTTATTCTTGAGAGATATGTATTTTTGTTAAAATAGGTCAATATAAGGTAACTAACAGTTATTTTCAGAAGCTAGCTTAAAGTGTTTCTAGTAGAACTAGATAGTAAATAAAATGTCAGGAGTAATCTACTATCAGTATCAGTAAGATAAAAGATGGCAGCAGTATTTAGGTCAGAGTAAATAGCTTGAGTGTAAACTTGAACCTGTTCTCTTAACCTACTCTTTATAATTTATAACTGCCAGAAACTTTTAATCATGAGGTTCTGGTACCGGTACTTAATTTACAGGATTTGTCTGGCTACAGCTCAAATTTTTCAGATTTTGATCGAGGTCTTACATGGTACCAATATTTAATATGTTTAGTGCAAACATGGACCTGGTTCTCTTAACTTACTATGATTTATAACTGCCAGGAACTTTTAATCATGAGGTACTGGTACTTAATTTGCAGGATTTGTCAGACAAGAGCTCTTAGAGACTGAATTCTTTCGTGGTACCAATATTTAGTATTTTGAGTGCAAACATGGACCTGGTTCTCTTAACCTATTCTCTCTAATCTATAACTGCCAGGAACTTTTAATCTGAAAAACATTAATTTGTGTCAACCAATATATGTCTTGATGTTTATATTCACCGGTCATATCTGACTTGAACTTATAAATGTCAAGTTACGATGTGGCCTTTGTAGGACAATATCCAGCAAAAGTCTTAGGCATACTTTTCTGTGCAATGTTTTTATACAACATGACTTTCTTGCACTCAAAATTTTAAAGAAAAGAAGTTCTTCCAATTCAGTGACATAATTATTCTCCAAATATAGCACTTTGCAATTCGATTATCTTCCTCTCCTCTCCTTAATCTGATAAAATATTTCATTTCAACATGTTTATAACTAAAAGACCAATGAAAGTGTGATATCAGTGCTGCACCTGCAACAAAACAGTAGCTTTAAGTTAACTGTTATAAGTTATGTTATCAGTAATTATCTTGATATTTAGAGTAATCAATTTGTCAAGGGAGATAATAAATTAGATTGATGTTCTGCATATTCTCACTGCTAACTATAGTTACACTGGTTACTAAGTAACTGTACCCTCAAGTTTGTGACAGAAAACAGATTAATATCACTAATCAATTTGTCAAGGGAGATAATAAATTAGTTGGGCTACCTAAATCAGTGCACTAACTCAAGCTGTTAGAATCTGTTTCTTAATGAGTTTGTTATCAGTACTATCTTGGTATTAATAGTAGTTAATTTGTCAAGGACAATGATAAACTTGCTACATGTTCCGTATATACTCTTGCTGCAGTGGCTCAGTAAGTTATAAGCTTGTTAGCTAACCTGAAGGTCCTAGGTTCAATCCTGGCATAGGTCGAGATAATACCTACAGGCTGTGCAGGTCAAAGATCCCTCGACACATGCTGATGGAAAAAGAGTAGGTTAATGCAGCTTTCCACACAAAATGTTCCTCATTGTACAGTTTAGTCACTGTGCTGTTGAGATCTAACACTTGTTCAGCATGCTAATTGAAACCATAAATGGCCTAGATACTCTTAAAAAAGCTTTGGAACTCTTTAAAAAATGTCCTTGAAAATCATAATATGCACTTGATAACACTGTGCAGTTGAGATCTAACACTTGTTTATGATCTGTTTAAAGAAATAAGCCTGGTGGGATGTAGATTTTATTGATAGAAGCCAGTTGTCTGTCAGATGTATTGAAATGTGATATTTCCTAGTACATACTCTTAGTGTTTATTCTACCATTGGTTATCATGATCTGTTTAATAGGTCACAAAGCTGGGAAGTCTCTATTTTAACAGGTTTCTCTGAGTAATCTCTTGAGGCTCTTTCTCTGTATTACTAGTACTTGTATTCCAATAGCCACTGGGATCTGGAAAACTTTACTAGAACAGGTTTCTCTCAGCAATCTCTTGTGGCTCTTTCTCTGTATTACCAGTTCTTGTTTTCCTCTAATTACTGAGAACTGGAAAACTTTACTTGAACAGGTTTCTCCTAGTAAGTAATCTCGTGTGGCTCTTTCTCTGTATTACTAGTACTTGTATTCCAATAGCCACTGAAAGCTGGGAAAACTTTACTTAGGTTTTCCTTAGTAATATCTTGTGACTCTTTCTCTGTATTACTAGTACTTGTTTTCCTACAATTACTAAGAGCTGGGAAAACTTTACTTAGGTTTTCCTTAGTAATCTCTTGTGGCACTTTCTCTATATTACTAATACTTGTAGCCTATAGCCACTGAGAGCTGGGAAAACTTTACTAGAACAGGTTTCTCTTAGTAATCTCTTGTGGCTCTTTCTCTGCATTACTAGGACATTCTTTACTTAAACAGGTTTCTCTTGTATTCCAATAGCCACTTAGAGCTGGGAAAACTTTACTAGAACAGGTTTCTCTTAGTAATCTCTTGTGGCTCTTTCTCTGTATTACTAGGACATTCTTCACTTGATCAGGTTTCTCTTAGTAATCTCTTGTGACTCTTTGTGTTGGAGTTTTATGTCTTAACTTTCTACATCTGAATTGGCTAATTATGACAGAAAATCCATGCAGTGTGTAATGAGAAAATTTGCCTAAAGCACATGGAGAATGACTAGAGTCACTAGACGCTTTTTCCATGTCAGCCCCTATCACTTGCATCACTGTCACAGGGAAAAACCACAGAAAAAGTTTTCTTATATTGCCACCATAATTTCAAGAAGAGGCATTTTCATCTTACTGTTTCAATAAATATGTCTTGTTTAAAGATTAATAAAATATTGTAAGCTTATGTTATATTTTTCCAGGATTGGGTGACAGCCACTGATATTAAAATAGTCCTGACGCGTATGAATACATTTGGTGATGAAGTATTCGGTGATCCTCAAGTCTTACGATCGTATTTCTACGCCATTTCTGATTTATCAGTTGGTGCTAGGTAAGTCAGATTTTCACAAAATTTCTTCTGTTTGGGTGGCCCATACAGAGACTAATTTCAAATTTTTGTTTGTTTGTTTATTTATTCACCCATTCAATTATTCATTCATTCAATCATTCACCCATTCTTCCATTCGATCATTCACCCGTTCTTTCATTCGATCATTCACCCATTCTGTCAATCATTCACCTATTCAATTCTTTCATTCAATCATTCACCCGTTTATTTACTTATTCATTCATTCACCCGTTTATTTACTTATTCATTCATTCATTCACCCGTTTATTTACTTATTCATTCATTCATTCATTCTGTCTATTCTAGGTGTCAGTGTAATGGTCATGCTAATGAATGTTACACCTATTCTCAGGGTATTGAAGACCAACAGATCTGTAAATGTGAACATAACACCACTGGTTCCAACTGTCAGGAATGTCTTCCATTCTTCAACGACCGTCCCTGGTCTAGAGCTTATGAAACAGAGGCTAATGAATGCAGACGTAAGTATTAATGCTTTCCAAATACCCTCCCCAATGGGATTTCTAAAAATCAATAGGCAGGGGGTTGAATAGGGGCCACAGATATGACAAACGGGGGCTTCACTGGCAATTCTTTCATAATAACCGCGTTTCCACTGAGAATTGTAAAGTAAAGTTAGCTCCAAGCTGGGTTAGAGCCAGTTTAATGCTGAACAAGTTGCGTTTACACTGAGTTTAACTGGCTCCCGAACGACCTTAGCTTCAATCACAAAGTCACATTATTGACAACTCATGATTTACAAGACTACTGTATAAGCCAGTAAAAAATGCAATAGATCGGAAAGACCAGTACACCCCCTATTATTAAACGAGATAAAGCTTGCTTTTTGTGTTTCTACGGTTTAAGTGAAAGCTAGCTTGGCCCCTGATAAATTGCTGAAAGCAAAAACAGGTTTTCGGTTCCCAAAATTTGCCCAGTGGAGTGAAAAGACAGCTATGATTCTAAAGATATAAGATTTATTTAGCATCATATTCATTTCATTTCTGATATTTTTCTATCATGCTTATCATTTGAAGGATAACAAAAAGTAAGTACAGAAATTGACTTCTGAATGAATTAATGCATTTTTTGTGAATTTATTTTCGAATTTCTATATCATTGATCATTTTTTGATTGCCTTACTGTTTGTTTGATATTTGCTTCAACGAAAATCTATCTTATACATAAAAAGTCCAAAAAGGACCAGGTTTCTTGTACAAAATTTTGCCCATTTCTTGTTGCTTTAGGTTTGCTCAAAAGGCAAAAGAATTTACACATACCATTTTTTTTTTTTCAGCTTGTAATTGTAATGGTTTATCCAACCAATGTTATTTTGATGCTGAACTATACAGACGTACAGGACATGGCGGCCATTGTGAAGATTGCCGTGACAACACTGATGGTGTGAACTGTGAGAGATGTCTGGTGAATCATTACAGACGTCAACCTGAAAACAGATGTCGAGACTGTCAGTGTAATGAAATTGGTAAGTTGAAGCAGACATGTTACAATCCAGACAGAAACCATTAGTTTCATGTGCAGCCATATTGTTTACAATCTATTTGTCAAGTTCTGATTGGCTGTATTCACTTGCTAACAATCTAATCAAATCATTGCATTTTCAAAGTAAAATTGATTCAAGTAAAAGTACCGGATTATGTCAAGGTATAAGATGTAGAGTGTTGACTGTATCTTGTGATTGAGAAGAACTTCCCCTTTCGGTAAATATTTGTATCTCCCCAAAATAAGAAATTTTTCAGACGATGAAAATCAAAAAAGGGGAAGCTACTTTTACCATTTTCCTGACAAACTGCATTGTCTGTTAACATTTTCCCAAAAAGGTGCAGAAAAGTAGGATGTAAAACTTCATTTGATTTCATTTTAAGGATCTGAGAGTATGCAGTGTGATGGAACAGGACAATGTAGATGTAAGCCAGGTGTCGCCGGCAGTAAGTGTGACAGATGTGAAACCAACTATTATGATTTTGGTGCACTTGGATGCAGGTAAGACCATTATACATTTATACTAATAGCTCAGCTAGAACAGGTTTGTCAGCTATCCAAAATTCACCTCTGGGTACAATTTAACAGGCATGAAAAAAAAAACACCCCCAAATTTTACAAATGAGTTCTTCCAATCATACATATATAGTTTTATATTGGTAGAAAGAATGCATGTGTGGAAGAGTCCAATAGAAAAATGAGGGGTGTCAAATAGATAACTGACATATATATTTTAATTTGCTACTCCATATACCCTAAAATAATGTCATACCTTCCCTAAAAGCTAAAACTGGTGAGCAAAATTTTGTAATATGGCTTTGAATAATAAAATCTATGTATATTGTAGACAATGTTCGTGTTCAGCAGCTGGTAGTTTAGATGGTGAGTCACGCTGTGATCCTAGAACTGGTTCCTGTTCATGTAAGGTCAACGTCGAGGGTCAAAACTGTGATACGTAAGTCTTGATCTTTTAGTTCATTTTCAATCCCTCCTTGGCTAGTTTTGAAATTTGATTATTCGGGTTATTTTAAACCCAGTTTTTCAGCTTATTGATATATATTTTTCTACCCACCATTAAACCCTGCAGAAGTTTCTTTGGAAACATGGAAACATGGTAAATTCAAGTCTCCAGAAGTCTAAATGCAACTTCAAATTTTATTATTTTAGCTGTAAACCAGGATTTTTTGGATTAAGTGAAAACAATCCAGCTGGTTGTCTCCCTTGTTTCTGTTATGGTCATGCGTCTGTTTGTGATGTATCACCTTCATTCTTCGCTAGAACTATCTCAACAGACTTTGAAACAGGTAAATTATGTGTTATAAACTTTTAGTAACTGATCCGAAAAAGTTCAAGGTATTTTGCAAAGCTCTTGGACGTTTCTATGAAAGCCATGTTGGCTTAGTGATTAAGACACTAAACTGACGGTCCAGGGTTCAATACTTACATGAGTTGATGCAGTTTCAACCCACTTTCTCCCTTTCAGTGATGCAGGTAAGAGGTGCTGACATGGAAAATAGTGGAACATTAAACCGAGGAATACTTGAAAAACGTGAAAAGAGTAGGCAAATGCTGCTGGCCTGACAAAATTTTCCTCATTGCACACTGCATGGTGTTGCCTGTCTTCATTTATAAAAGTAGGATGTAAAATTTCATTTGATGATGTTACTTTATTAATGTGGTGTATGGAAAATTGAAACTCTGATAATTTTGTATGTAGGTAAACAGAGATGGAATGCTGTAGATAGAAGAAATACAGAAGTAGCTATACAATATAATGGTATTCTACAGAATGTTGGTGTCTCGGCACCAGGAGCTGATGCTGTTTACTTCAACGCTCCAGGTTTGTATACGATTAAATATCTCATTAATATGTGATGTTAACAATATTCTATCTGGGGTGTAAATAGAAATTGTCTGAAGATGGGGCCAAAAATAAGAGGGCTTAATTTCACTTTTAAATAAGACCCTTCACAGCCCCAAGGGGGGGTCCATGGCCATGAGCCAGGTATGGCCATTTTCTTTTTGCAAAATTCGTACTCTACATCCTTTTAAAAGGACTTCTGTATATGAATTGATATCCTTATGGATTTCTGCGGCTATTTTTTTTTTATCGAAGGGGAAACAAACAAGGCTTTTTAAAAATTAATTACCAACAAAATACGTCAAATTTTTTATTCTATTTTAAAATCTTAATTCCTTTTTTCAGCACGATATTTGGGAAATCAACGTTTCAGCTACAACCAACATCTGATGTTTAAATTAAAAATAGGGGAAGAGACGGCAAGGGCCTCAGTCATCGATATCATCATAGAGGGGTCTGGACAGCAGATCTCGATACCCATTTTTGCCCAGGGTAACCCTGTACCCACTATTATTAATCAAGACTATAAGTTTAGACTGAAGGATGGTAAACAGTATCAATGGGTACCCACGTTAAAACCTCAAGATTTTATAACTATATTAGCTAATATTACTGGTATTAAAATAAGAGCTACTTATAATGCTGAAGGTACGTTGAAAATAATTTTTATGGTTTTTTTTTTGCTATTGAGTTTGCATATTTGAAGGAACTTTTGAATTTTCCTAAACCAGCAGAATCATGAAATTTGTTATTCTTTTTGGTGCTTAGTTTTGTATTAAAAAAAAATATTTCTATTTAATTTGATTGATTGATTTTGATATTGATTTATTGATTTATTTATTGATTTATTGATTTATTTATTGATTGATTGATTTATTGATTTATTGATTTATTTATTTATTATTTATTTCATTATTTTTATTCATTCATTGACTTATCCCATCTTATAATTATTTTAGGTGTAGGATTTATTGATGATATAAAACTAGAAACAGCAAGACGTGGGTTTGAAGGGGGTGTAGAAGCTTCATGGGTAGAGAGATGTACCTGCCCTCTAGGATATGTGGGTCAGTTCTGTGAGTCCTGTGCCCCAGGGTACAAACGTGACCCAGCTAACGGTGGACCCTTCTCTAAATGTGTCCCCTGTCAATGTAACAACCATTCTGATATCTGTGATGTCAATACAGGTAAGTCCTGTGAGGGATTTTTTTCTGGGTGGGAGGAGAACTTTTTGGCTGGGTATGGCATTATGAAAAGGTTGACCACCTTCCCTAAGGAGGGACAACTTGCCACTGACAGGCAGTTTATTTTCATAAATTTTAGCTTGAAAATGTTGGTGTTATTCAAATTCTGAGTTCTTTGAATTCTTCAATTTTCAGGAAGATGTATTTGTCAACATAATACAATGGGAGCCAACTGTGAACGTTGTAATAATGGTTTCTATGGTGATGCTAGAGGCGGATCTTCTGATGATTGTCAGGCCTGTCCCTGCCCAGGAGGCGGAGCTTGTATTCAGGCAGCCAATAAGGAAGTTGTGTGTACTGATTGTCAAGATGGATATGGAGGTTAGTTGAATAACTTTTCTGACTTTCATGGGTACCTTGTCTACCTAGAATGTACCATGTTTAAATTTATACTTACATTGGTGCTTTCCAAAATCTGAATCCTCATTTTTGGCATCACTATCCCAAAATTGATGTGTGATGAGTCAATTGTATGCTGACTATTTTTGAAAAGGAGGATACAAGGTTAGATAATCAAAAAGATTTAAGCAGAAACAAATTATTTATCAAGGTTAACAACTTGGGTTCACGAGGATCACGTCTACCAGCGGGTCCTTGGCCAAACCTTTTGGCATCAATCTACTGAGGCTACCATACACATTTACAACTTGACTGAACCAATGCGAATAGATGACTTATTCAAGGTCACCAGACATCCATGCACTGACCAAGATAAGAACTGACGACAATATTGAATTTAGATTTACGAAAGAAATGATGTCAAATTCTTATGGAATTGAAATTCTAATGGCGTTGTTGTTTTTTTCAGGTAATCGATGTGAATACTGTACTGATGGTTACTTTGGTGATCCTGAAGGTCGCTATGGTGACAGAAGACAATGTCAGACATGTTTCTGTAATGAAAATATTGATCCTAATGCTGTCGGAAATTGCAACAGGTAAAATTATTGCTCCTGATTCTTAAACATATCTCATATAGAGGTATATGCCCCCCTAGAAAAAGGAGATCTAATGACTTGGAAAAATACCAGTTTGTCTCACATGTCCATAATTAATTCATAATTAGCTAAATTAGAAGAGAATTACCAGCAGAATTCTAAAGAGTGACCGATCAGAAAGGTCAAAAAATCTTTTTTTGTTTATCCAGACTGTACATACATGGACATTTATGATTGGTTAAAACTCTTAATTATATGCAATAAGAACATAATGATATGATTAAGAATACATGATAATTCATTCGAAACACCAATTAATCCAATAGTTTGCTAAATTTAACACTTAAAAATAAGGAAACCCATCTTTAATATTGAAATATGTATTTATATTTTCAGTACAACAGGAGAATGTAGAAAATGTATCTATAATACAGCCGGTTTCTACTGTGAAAAATGTCTAATTGGTTACTATGGTGAAGCCTTGAAATTACCAAAAGGAGACTGTGAATGTAAGTATCACAACATGGCGAGGGGGTGGGGTGGGTCATGTTTTAGGGCAAAGGTCACAAAATTTTGGGCAATCATTGTGATTTTTTGGCTCATGATTTAAGAAAGAAACAAACATATTTTATAAGGATAATAACTTCAATTCATGAGGATCCTCTCTACCAGATGGTTCCTTGACCAAACTTCTTGGCATAGATGTTTCCTAGATTATCCATACCCATTTACAACTGGGTTGACTAAATTAATGTAACGTAAATTTTATGAAAAGATATAAATATTTTGACCATTTTAAAAGTTTCTTATGGTATGTTTTCTCATCTGATGATGACACTTATCTTTTATATTTATTAAAGAGCTGTGCTTATTCCATCATATTGTGTTTGTGATTGTGTTTGATATGTGTTTTTTGTATTGACCTATTGTTTGTGGTATATTTTCAGCGTGTAATTGTTTTCAGAATGGAACAAGAAAGGATATAGGTTGTGATCAGACAACAGGACAGTGTGCTTGTTTACCTCATGTTATCGGCCCTCGCTGTGACTCGTTAGAAATTGGCTTCTGGAATATCAACAGTGGAAATGGTATGTAATTTTTATATCAAGCCTTCTTTTTCTGTAAGCTACCATTGGATTGTAAGATAGATAAATCGTTCTGGCCTTGGTTTTGAATCCAATTATTTATTCATTTATGCAGTTTTCCATTCAATCATGAACACACTTGACATATTCTCATTCATACACTGGATATTGGCTCATACTTTCATTGTCTCATTTATACTCCATTCATTCATTCATTCATTCATTCATACACTGGATATTGGCTCATACTTTCACTCATTCATACACTGGATATTGGCTCATACTTTCATTGTCTCATTTATACTCCATTCATTCATTCATTCATTCATTCATTCATTCATTCATACACTGGATATTGGCTCATACTTTCACTCATTCATACACTGGATATTGGCTCATACTTTCATTGTCTCATTTATACTCCATTCATTCATTCATTCATTCATTCATTCATACACTGGATATTGGCTCATACTTTCATTGTCTCATTTATACTCCATTCATTCATTCATTCACTCATTCATACACTGGATATTGGCTCATACTTTCATTGTCTCATTTATACTCCATTCATTCATTCACTCATTCATTCATTCATACACTGGATATTGGCTCATACTTTCATTCATTCATACACTGGACATTGGCTCATACTTTCATTGTCTCATTTATACTCCATTCATTCATTCATTCATTCACTCATTCATTCATTCATACACTGGATATTGGCTCATACTTTCATTCATTCATACACTGGACATTGGCTCATACTTTCATTCATTCATACACTAGCTTGTCCTTTCATTTATACACTGGCTCATCCTTCCATGCATACATACATTGACTCATCCTTTCATATTCGCATTTGTACTCTGGTTCAAGCGTTCATTTATTCATTCATCCTCTCATTGTTTCATTCATTCATTCTGTATATTATAGGAGGAGAACCATGTGACTGTGATAGAATAGGCTCCACCAATATCACCTGTAATCCCTATACCGGTCAGTGTGAATGTAAAGTGGGCGTGTCTGGTAGACGTTGTGACACCTGTCAAAGATATCACTATGGTTTCTCTATGGAAGGCTGTACTGGTAAGTATTCAACTTTTCAAATGTTTCTTAGAAGATAACTGCAATATTTGTTCAACGTAATCAAGCAATTGACTTCACATTGAGATTTCAGTGCTCTAACTGTCTGTACTACAGCACCTCTTTATATCTGAGACAAGTGTCAAAAAGCTTAGAATCAGCTCTGTTAACCTATATCGGTCTGTTTTCAGCTTGTGACTGTGCTGCAGAAGGATCTCTAGATTATCAATGTGATGAATATGGTAACTGTCCCTGTAGAACCAATGTTGATGGTAGAAGATGTGACCGATGTGCTGAAAATAAATTCAACATCTCTGCTGGCTGTATTGGTAAGAAACTTCTTCTTGGAGCCACAGTGGTTCAGTGAGTGAGATACTTGGTCCAGGGTTCAATCCCAGCATAGGTGGAGATAATGCCTTCAGATTTTTCAACCCCGTTTCCCCCTGTCAGTGATGTAGGTAAGAGGGGCTGACATGGAAACAACGTCTAGTTGTTCGGATGGGACAATAAACTGAGGCCCTGTATGCTACAGGCTGTACACGTTACAGATCCCTCAACATTTGGAAATGGAAAAAAAAGAATGCTGTTGTTCTTTCAAAATTTCCCTCATTGCACACTGCATGGTGATGCCCAATCAGGTGGAAAAGATTAACTCATTTCAATCATTCAATCTTTGAAATTTGAATTTTTAATTTTTGTCTAATTTCAGATTGTCCCCCTTGTTATGATTTGGTACAAGAAAGAGTGAACATTCATCGTGGTAAACTGAGAGATTTGTCTAATCTGATTAATAATATTGAGGCCAATCCAGGACTCTTTAATGATACAGAGTTCATCAACCATCTAAAAACTGTCAATAAATCAGTCAATGTCTTGTTAAATGATGCTCGTGGTGCTTCTAGTAAGTCTATGGATTTTATTTTAATCTGATGATCAATAACCAAGGCTTACAAAGATCCTTTCTACCAGCTGGTCCTTGACTAATCCTCCTGGCATTGCTCTTTCGTCAGATTATCTGTACTTATTTACAGCTATGTACAATAACTTATTCAAGGTCATTCGACTTTCACTCGCTTACCACCATTATAACCCATCATCTTTTTTTTCGGCATAACCAAGCAAAATGAAGTAGTTTCAACATAAACTGATTGTGCTACAGCTTGTCCTCAGACAGCTGGCTCTGTCATCATGTTGCTCTTAGTGATTTGATTCTGTATCTATTTATAGCTGGAGATGGTACTATTGGTAAACAGCTACAAGATCTTCGTAAAGCCTTGAACGATGTCCTGGACAAATGTGCTAAAATCTCCAATAGCATCAACGTCGCTACTGACGTCTCAAGCCAGAGCTTTACCGATATCAAACAAGCAGAGGAGGCTATCGACAGAGCAGAGACAGCTCTGCGAGCAGCTGAAGACTATATAGACAGTGAAGGAAAGATTGCTCTAGAAAGAGCTCTAGAAGCTTTGGATAAATTTGGTAAACAATCGCAGCAGATGACTCAAATTGCTCAGCGTGCTACCAAAGAATCCACACGGTGGGTAAAAAAACCAAACCTTTTGACAGTAATCTTTTCCTGATTATCTCTTTTAAAGGGATTGTAAAGAGATTTGCTAAATTTTGTATATGTAACTGAAACACTGAAAGCATCAATTAGCATCTTTCCAATTTTCTATCAGACGTCAGTGGTTCTTGCGATTCCACTTAACTCAACACTTGGTTTATTGGCATTGATCATTCCTGGGTTACATGAGCCCATATATATCTGAGTCCTCTGAAACAATAATAACTTTGCCTTTTTGCCATGTAAGAATAGTTTACAATTGAAAAAAGTATGCCAATGCCGATGTCTGGGCAAATTTCCCCTCATTGCACACAGAAAGGCCAGCCTTAATTAATCCAATCTGATAAGGATTACTTATAGCTCTTAGCCCTGTTAGTGATGCAGGTTGGAGGTGCTGACATGAAAAAGTATCTATAGTTCTTAGGATGGGACAATAAGCCCATGTTAAAAATCCCTTGACAATGAACATTTCTCTCATTGCACACTGCATGGTGTGCCCATCCCTCTTTAGCCCAAACAGGTACAGAAAAGGTAGAATTCCATTTCATCTCTAAATAACTCTACTTCAGCCAAATGGAAGATGCTGAAAGAATTGAGTTGATGGCTAAAGAAGCTCAGAATACATCACGAGAAGCTTTAAGATTGGCTCAAGAAGCTTTCTCTCAACCTGATAAAACATCTAGAGAAATACAACTATTGAATCAAGAGTAAGTTTATAGCTTTACATACTTTCTCCACAGCACAATTTCAAGCTATTATGAACTTTGTCTGATGCGTTGACTGCAATAGCCATCTTTATTTTATCACAGACTTCAGCGATTCGATTAGATTGCACACCAGGGAATACAGCTAATCAGAGCCCTTGTAAACATTAAGACTTATTGTGTACCTACTTTTTTTAATACCTCTGATTGGTTGTATTCTGGAGGGTACAATCCAATCAAATCACTACATTTACAGTGACTGTGAAAAACGGCTATTGCAATCAAAGTATAAAAAGAAAATGGCCACAAGAATTTAAGAAGAAGCAGTTTTGATGCATTGCCTCATTGTGAAATATGTTTGATTTTCAGCCATGACAATGCGGACAGATTGTACAGTCAAACGGAAGTTATCGCTGAACGAACACAGATCCTGGCTAAAGAAGCTCATGATGATGCTATCAGCCTGTATTCTGAAGCCCAGAGACAGGTTCCTAAAGTTGACGTGGATCAGCTGATAAATGATGTAGATCAGATCAAGGAGGAGGTAGGTTTATTGGATAATTCATGTGCAGTGGCATATTTAGGCAGTAATTTTTGGGCCATGGTCTCTCCATTCTCCAAAATCATGGCACTATATGCCGGACATGACCCTCTGCCCCCCCATTTGGCTCTGCCACTGCCTTGACAGTTGGAAATAGAAAAGAGTAGACTTAAACTGGCAATATTTCCCTCACTGCACACTGTATAGCTTGCCTGTCTTCATAAGCCCAAACAGGTGCAGAAAAATAGGATGTAATACTCTCATTTCATTTTCTCTCATTTGTATTTGAATTCCAGGCTGGAAAAATCAAATCGGAAGCAGAGCGTCTGTTGGAACAAAATGAACAGTTACTGAAGGATGTAGCAGAGAAACAAGGCAGTGCTGAAACTAAACTGGATGATGGGGTCCGACTTCAACAGAGAGCTGATGAGCTCCTTGCTGAAGTAGATGCTGCCAGAGCCACAGCGCGTAATGCTGTTGATCTGGGAGAGAAGACCTTAAAGGAAGCTAATGAGACCCTTGCAACCCTTAAAGGTACGTTAATTTCAAGATGTACTAATCCTCTGCTGTAAGGTTTTGACAGTAAGAAATCAAGAAAAGATGGCAGTTGCTTCACTTCCATTAATTAAATTCTCGTAGCCCCGAATGCAGGCATGACTCTCATAACTAAGTTAGAAATTCATGGAACCTCAGATATTTCGCTCCCACCTCAACCTGGCTCTTCTGCAACTGTAAAGATGCTACAAAAAATAGTTGGCTCATGTCACTGTTTTGATAAGATTACATCATTGCACTCTGATTGTATTTTTTTGCCCAATAATATACAGAAGCAAACTCCATTTCATTTCATTAGACAAATAAAGATCCAAAAAGTAGAAACTCCATTTCATTTCATTTGTTATTCCAGGATTTGATGAATTGGTACAAGAGAGTAAAGGTAAAGCTAATGATGCTCTGACCAAAATACCCGATATTGAGAGGACCATCAAAGAAGCTGAAGACACTACAAAAGAAGCTCAAAATGCGCTCAGTGGAGCTGAATTAGACGCTCAAGAAGCTTACAGATTGGCTCAAGAAGCTCAATCCACTGCTGAAGATGCTTCTGAGGTAAGGGCTTTTAGCGTCTGTAAGCTAGTACTGTTTTATACAGGTGGCCCTGTTTAGGACGAGACATTTAAATATCCTTATGGGAGTTCCATTTTGAGATTTTTCACCAGACCTTGTAGCAGGTCTGTTGATTTGGCTGTATTTGCCAGTCATGACCAATGGGGCTGGCCAAATGACCGGTGGTCAATATCCATCTATCGGACATCAAGTATAGGTTAACCAATACATAGCTTTCAAATTTAAGTCATCTAAATTTTTCACAAGGGGCCAAACATTTCTTAGGGGCTCCCTGGCCCCCGTCTACAGAGGTAAACTTTTCCTTCTTGATACAAATCCAAAACTTAGAAAAGTAGGAAGTAAAACTCTATTTCAATTTCATTTCAGGAGGCCAGTAGAATCCGAAATGAGTCCAACCAGACTAAAGACAAGGCCATTGGATTAAAGGAAGAAGCTGATGATTTGGCTGATGATGTTTCCAATGCTGATGCCAGACTCAAGGACTTGGAAACTCAGGCTGATGAGGATTCATCTCTCTCTAAGGAGGTAGAACAATTATAACATAGCGCTAAATGCATCCAAGTTTTGGATCTGTTTCATGTCGTATCTATTAGGAGCTTATGTTTCCAAGTTTTGGATTGGATTTCCCAGGGAATTTTTTAAACTTGTGCATCCAATTTAAATCAGATTTTCATTGTGACTTTTTTGGAGTGGTATACATTTGATGTAGAGTGACATGAAGACCATGAATTTCTGTTTTCCAGATAGCTGGGATATACTAGTGTTCTTCATGGAACTTTTTCAAGTCCCCTCATAACAATTTTTTCCAAAACTTTTCTACTGGTTGCTATCAAATATACATACATCTGAATAACATTGAATTGAAGAATATTAAGGGATCCAAAAAACCAAGAGTACTTCAAAGTTTGGACTTGTTGTATGCCTAAGTTGTGGTTTATCTTTTACTTTCAGGCGTTAGAGAATGCTAACACTGCCAAATTGACAGCAGAGGAAGCCTCTGATAAGGTTGCTAAAGCTTTACAAACAGTAGAAAATATCATCAGAATACTTGGTAAGATTTGGATTAGCACCTTTAACTTGAGATGACTTACTTTGCTCATATGCCTAAAGTCAGTGGCAGAGCCACCCAATATTCAGGGAATATCTGAGATTGCCTGAATTTCTAACCTATTTATGAGATATTTGCCCCTCTGCTCCCCCTTTGGCTCCACAACTGCCTAATGTCCTATTTTTGAAACTCCCATTTCAATAAAGTTATCCTGATGAGGATAGTCTATCAGAAACATGTTGGCAGCATGAACTCAGTTTTATTGATCAGAAATTTTGAACTATTTTTAACAACTCACTCAATTTTTCAGGTTCATTGGATTCTGCCAACCCAGGAGAACTAGATCAACTCGAACAAGACTTGAACAACATTGAAAAGGACTTGAACGACACGAACATTGAACAGGAATTCACTCAACTGAACGCAGCGAACGAACAAATAAAGCGCAGTGCTCGAAAATACTCTGAAGATTATTCTCAGCTTGAAAAAGACGTGAATAATATAGAAGATATCAAAAACTCTCTGCCAGATCAGTGTTTTAAAAGTATTGAAATAGAATCACCCGCAGCTGGCGGTCGATAACGTTTTTAATACCCTCGTTCAGTATTCTCTTTTTTTTAAATTTTTTTAATTTATCATTTACTCATGTGCCACATTTTTTAAAGAACAAAATTTGTCCTTTTTTGTTTTTGTCAATTCATTTTCTTCAAAATACAACCATTTTTTTTATATGAAATTTCAAATTTTTCATTACATTACATTACGATGTCCATGTAAAATTGGTTCATGGATTTGTATCAAGGTGTCAGTTTACATGATGGCCGAGATATGAAAGGAGAATAGACTTCGAAGGCTACATTGAAAGGGTTGAAAAGATTTTTATAGTGGTCGGAAAGATTTTGATAGTGTTCAACAATATTTTTAGAAGTTTCGAAAGATTCTGATATGTCGAGAAGATTTGTTATTATGGTTGAAAAGATTATGATAGGTTTGGAAAGATTTTGAACTGTCAACAAGATTATTGCAGGGTTGAAAAGATTATGATAGGTTTGGAAAGATTTTGATACTGTCAACAAGATTATTATAGGGTTGAAAAGACATTGATAGGTTTGGAAAGATTTTGATACTGTCAACAAGATTATTATAGGGTTGAAAAGACATTGATAGGTTTGGAAAGATTTTGATACTGTCAACAAGATTATTATAGGGTTGAAAAGACATTGATAGGTTTGGAAAGATTTTGATACTGTCAACAAGATTATTATAGGGTTGAGAAGACATTGATAGGTTTGGAAAGATTTTGAAACTGTCAACAAGATTATTGCAGGGTTGAAAAGACATTGATAGGTTTGGAAAGATTTTGATACTGTCAACAAGATTATTATAGGGTTGAAAAGACATTGATAGGTTTGGAAAGATTTTGAAACTGTCAACAAGATTATTGCAGGGTTGAAAAGACATTGATAGGTTTGGAAAGATTTTGATACTGTCAACAAGATTATTATAGGGTTGAAAATATTTTGATAGGGTAGGAAAGATTTTTATACCTCAAAAGGATATGGTATGTGGATTACTGATATTGAATTTCTACAAGTTCGTAAAAAGGGTTTTTTTCTATCTTTGAGATTTGGTTAAACTTATTTAAGAATTCTGTTGATATTATTGATTCTGATATTATAAAGTATAGGGCTATAACAGTGATGTAACTTTATGTTGTGTTTTTAGAAAATTTCATTTCATCATTTTCATCCTAAATGTTATAACAATACATCATACGGCAAAATCTGAGGGTGGAAAATCCTGAATTTTACAAAAGTTTTTGGGACACAAGTTGAAAGCTTTCACCAGACAGACTTTTGGAAGCATATGCCATACTGACTGACTGAGCTATTTCACTGTTACTTTTTGAAGATTTTGTGGATTTTTGGCTTTATGGACATTACATTGCCCTCCAGTTTGTCAATGCCAAAAGTTATCGGAACTGCTGGAGACAGTGCCAGTTAAAACTCTGTTGTCCTGTTTTGATATCCTACGGTGTTATTTTCCATCTGAAAATTTTGTCAGTCTGTAAGATTGTGTATGATAGTAAATACAATATACAAACTACCTATAAATTATTATGGTATCGTAGAGTTACTAAATATAGATTAAACCAGATATTAGCCTAGCTGTGTACATAACTTATCTCATTTTCCTATCCTGTTTGGAATTCCGAATTTTTTAGGGGTTACTGGTTTCCTGTGCAGTTTTATCAATGGTTAAAGGAGTTTTAATATGTAATTAACTGTGCCTTTAGGTCTAGGTTTTGATATAGGTCCATTTACAAGGGTCTTTTCAGTGTTATCATGTACTTAAACGTGACAAAATTTCCCTAATTGCACACTGTACCACATTGATCACCAATATGGAGCGGAAGATGACCAGGCCATTTTCTTCAAAAGCCAAAAAGATTCTGAATTCTAAACTGGATATGATTTATGTGTTTTAATATTGTAGAACTCTTATAAGTAGAAAACTGGACAGTGGCAAAATACCCGAAACGTTGATATTTTTATCTAGTCCCAAAATGATAATATTAGTATGAGTAGATTTTTTGGGCATTCATGTTTTGGAAAGTAGTTCAGGTTAGCGAGGAAATGAGTCTAAAGTTTAAATTTTTTGAATTTGATTGGTCTCTTATTTGAAAAAATATTTTTGCTTTGTAAAGGGATCCATAGAATGCAAAAACAAATCATTCATGGAATAAAATTTCTTAGAAATATGTGAACACTGTAGAGCAAGCAAAATTGACATACTCAAGGGTGAAAAGGAATTGTGTTCTCAATGAAGTAATGCTCATTTTCATTGCTAATTTGTTTTATACTTTCCAAGCCTTAAAAAAACCCTAGTGTACAGAATTGAGACCCCTCTCCCCTACTCCACTAACTTTGCCCCCCTTGTATAACTTACAACGCATAATATGTCACGTTTTGTCAAATATTCACCCATTTTTACACTTTCTACATTGTTTTGATAAATTTTCCCAAAATTTTGTTTTGAAAAGATAGATTCTCCTCTTTAGAAATTAGCAGAATGAAATATTATGTTTTGAAAGGTTTTTAATATTATTTAGCATTTTAATTTGAGCCATTTGAATGTTACAGAAGACAACTTTGTGGCTTAGGGTGCATTTTGAACCTTAGATGCACCAGTTTTTGTAGCTGCCCTAATTCATACTATGGAATTTATGCAAAAAATTTCATGAAATAGTGTCCAATGTAAAATTTCATTGAGTAAAAAGTTCTACAACAGTAAGATCTAAAATTCCACTTAATGTCATTTGTTGGAAGAATATAGATTATTTTATTTCTGAGGGGAATCTACCTTTAAATCTATTGCTCAAAATTATGCTCTTGAAATCATCTCTTCATGTGTTATTATTGTAAAATGTAGAACTGGGTGATTTCAATGTTTTTATGTGGATCTGATATTTTGTAATTTGATATTTTTGTCATGTAATTATTAATCATCAATGAGATATTATCAAAATTTAGACCTTTTCTGTGTTTCGACCTTAGAGGCTATGTTCAATTGGCTGTTCTGGACAGATGCCTTGTGGGTTTGATTGGTTGTTCTGGACTGCACACTCAATTCACAATTCCATTTGATTGCTGGTCTTGGCAGAAGTGCTGTTTCATTCTATGTCCTTGACTGCACACTCTTTACAGCTGCACAATATGGAGTCGGGTTTGGTTGGCGGTGCAAGACAGATGCACAGTGTGTTTGATTGTTTGTTCTGGACTGCACACTCAAACCTATGTATTTGATTGACTGCACAATCTCTGGAGAGAACACCAGGACTCACACAAGTGCGACATCAAATGCATTAGTGTGGAACGAAAATTGCCAAACCGTTTTCTTCTCTGTTCAGAACTGTTGGCCATTCACAATCAAAAATTCAAATTCTGAGAGGTCCACAAACTATATAGCTTAATGGTGCTATAAATAATATAGCTTTTTGTAATATAGACAATTAATAAATATTTTACAGTAACATATTATGTTGTGTTAAGTTATTGTTGATTTGAATGTTTTCGTATCAGCCTGTTAGGTAAGTAAGCAGTTCCTTAGTAACAAGCACATGCTTATGTCAATCTAACTAATAACTAACAAAAATTTCACAAATTTCCACTTTTTTATTTATGGGTTCTATTAGTTTCTCACTTAAGTACTTATTTGTATGTTTCAACCAGTTCTGTCTGACTGCATTTAAATACTTAAAACTCATAAAAAAAATCCCACAAATTTCAACATTTTCAGATAAGGACTCTTGTTGGCCAGATTTAGCCATCCATGTCTGATTGCATTTAAAAAAACAGGTATCCAATAACAAAAAAACAAAATACTTTTAATTTCTCATGGAAAGTCAAAATCTTAGAAAATTCAAGAAATTTTAATTTTTTCACAGATTGTTTCTCCATATTTAAAAAAAACAGATTGTCATAAACAACAATATTCTTAAGAGTATTCAACAAAGTTAAAATCCACAAATTTCAAGAATTTTTCACTGATTTTAAGCGTTGTTTTAGATCCTCCCGTTGTTGTAATAACTGTTCCATTTTTAATTGGTTCATTTTCAGTCTGTTTTCTAGAGATTGTATTAAAGGACCACTCATAACCTCCATAATATGACAGAGACATTTTGTATAAACTGAAAGTAGAAAGGACAACTGTTAACCCTTTAGACACTACCGGTCACATAATAATATATACCAGAGCAGCCGGTGAAAGGGCTGTTGCCAAGTGATGTCAGATAATTTTCTTGTATACCAGCTGTTCCTTAACCAAACCTCTTAGAATTGATCTTTATTGAATTATCTGTACTCATTTCCATCTGAGAAAGTCAAGGTCACCAGACTGGCAGATGTCAACCATTTGTTCACCATAACCAAGCAATTGACATCATGTGAAGATTCCAATGCTCTTACCAACTGTGCTACAACCCCACCCCTTCTATATATTGTATGATAATTACAAATAGGCAATGCCTGGAAAAATTTCCCAATCAAATTTGTGACCCACCTGATGCGTTTTGTATTTTTGTAATAAGGTCAAGGTCTTTCTCTCTTGTTGTCTGATTATATGCTTCCTCTTCCTCCATACTGAGGATTCTGGGTAATTCTACTAGAGAGTCTAAAGCTGGGGAACCAATTCCAGAACTAGGCACTATATGAACTGGAACTTCTACTCTTTCATATCTGCAATTCAAAAAATATTTAAAGGAAATAAAATAAATCCAATTAACAACAGAGACCAACGCCTTGTTTATAGGGAAACTAGAGAGTCCAGCTTTCAGGGGCAACACAGTTTTATGGGCTAGCCTAGAATGCTGAACCACTGTGCATGCATGCATCCATAATGCATGGGAAACCAATATAGCTTTGAAGGATCAAGGCAAACAAATCTAACGATCATTAATGAAACAGTGGCAATATTATCCATTTGTAATGTTTATTTTCCAATTCGTCCAATAAAATATAACTAATACTAACTGTCCTCCATAATTCATAGACTGAAAACATGTCAGCTGGACTCGATTTTGCTGAAATTTAAGACAAAATACATCATTATAGATACCATCTTACAGCCACACATCCTTATCAATAAATAGAGAAGATTGAGAGTCACTTTATCCAAATAGCTTTGTATTAGGCCGTGTTTTAAAACCAATCAAATCAACCATATCATACAAATCATTAGTTCTGTGTGAATGTACATATTTACAAAACAAAACTATAAAACAGCTATATGCAAGCATGTTCATTGGCTGGTGTGATAATCATGTGACATGGACATTGATTATTTTGATCCTGAATACAATACCTTGCTATTTTTATCTTCGTTAAAAACTGAGAAAATTAAACCAATGAAACAATCATCTAACATCTGATACATAGCTTGTGTTTGAACATCTACAAAATCATATGATTGTAAAAGTAAAGTGGTTTTTAAATTCTTTACTAGTGGTATCCATTTGCACTACTCCAATTTTAGTAGTTCGTCTCCAGCGTCTGTATTTCTTGCAATGCCACTAAAACTAAGCATTTTAGGACATCTCTATCGAAAAAGCCCTTAAATATAATAAGAAGCTTTTGCAATAATGACGTCAAATATTGTTAAGCATTTCTATAATTGCAGGAACCACAGATATCTGACGGAAAATTGGAACGATGCAAAAAAAAAAAAGACATAAATGGCTTAATAGTCTTCAAATCAAAAGGGCCAGACAATATTAAATTGGAACTAACCAACATGTGATGGCCAAACAGTAATATGTGGATGAGAATGATACCATCCTAGAACTCTCATTGGTCTATCTAATTCTTTCGCTAGCATCTATAACAGAAAAATTTGAATTTAATATAATTTTTGATTCTCCAGTCTTAAATTTTGCTTATAAGTCTTGAAACCTATTACTGATTAGCTAAGCTGAACACCTGTTTCTCAGACCAAGGTATGATTGACTTCAAAAATAGCAAACCATGGCCTTAAACACTATTATTTAAAATTGTCCAAGATGCCTCACATATTCCCTGTTGTGTTTGTGGTACCCAAGATAACAGCTATATGACCACATTCAATGTAATTTGCATGCAATTCAACAACCCTTGATGCAAATATCCATTAAATAAGACATGCCATTGCCAAAAGAGACAGACCCATCGTGAAAATAAACAGCTGCCAGAGAGTCTTACCTCTGCCTTGGTAGAAGCATCTGATAATTGTTCTGGTGAAATCTCAACTCTATCTGGTCTTTTATCAGATCTTCTCAACATTATAACAGCTGAAATATGTGATACTTGTTTCTCGTCCACCTAATTTGGTAAAAAAAAATATTTTGTTTGGATTAATTCGATCTTAAAGTATTAAGCTTATAGTTCCAATATTTGGGACCTGAAAACTTAACTGGAGATGAATTAAATGTTGTCGAAATTTGAGTCTTCAAATCTGTGTGTATCCATAATTATTCACGTTTGAAAATTAAAAATTCGACTTGAATTTTAGTGAGACTTTGCCATATATAGAAAACACATATATAGGAACAGACAGTGAAATTTCTAGTTTGAGGTATATTTGAAGGGATTATGCGGTTTTCATGCATTTTAGTACTTCTTAAGACTATTAAAGCACAATAAAGACCCAAATCAATCCCTGAAAATGCCAACTGTCCTTTAATTAAGTTTTCCAGGATAAGGCCTGCAGATAATAGAATTCGAAGGGTTTATAGTTGTTTTCTCATTCTTACAATCAATTTTGTCATAAGTATTGTACTTCTCTAAGTAAAATTCAACATCTTAACACCTATGATAAAAAAAATTTCTTAATATTTTTGTGGAACGAAGCTTAAGGCGAAAGGTACCAAAGACCTAGATCACTCTCACCAATTATCAGACGACTTAGCCCAATATTAAAAGACTAATCAAACCAATGAATACACCCTAATACCAATGTTAACAACTCATTAACAGATTGATTTAACACTTTAATGTGAACTGCTCAGTAGGATTCATTAAAGGATTAGATGATTTGAAGTAAACAGTGAGATATTAAACACCAAGAATAAAAAGACTTCTGATTTAGCCTGAGGTGAACAGTTTACAAAGGGTTTTAATATTAATAAAGCTTCTGATAGCTATACAATAGAATTAAGATCTAGATCTTCATGAAAACAAAGTGCTGAAACTAATTTGGTCTCTTATATTTATAGTCATCTACCAACCAATCAACCGATCCATATTTCACAGGTATTTCTCTTTTATTTTTTTTAGCCCCACTTCACAGCCCCACTTCACAGCCCCACTCCCCCTAAAATTATGTTTTACTCACTTCTCCAATTAAAAGCCCCATGACTTCCTCTCGTTCCGTCGACAAGGCGTGAGTTATACAAACCAAATACGCGTCTGCTACTAATCTAACGCTGTTAATGGCCATTTTTGTAAAGAAAACGTTCCAAAAACCATAAAATGTCAGAAAGAAAATGGAAATGTCTTAAATGATTAATCTACCGGAAGTTAATAATTGTAAACACCAGGACCACATTTCTCGCCTCCAATCGCTGAAGAGCTGTTTCTCCAAAGTGAAATAATCTATAAAATGATCGATTTCTCATCGAATAAGGAAGAGGGAAAACAAAAAAATGTAACACGTGAAGTAAAAGGTTTCTGCACGGCGAATTTCGTCGCTCTACTTAATATCAGGTACCTGCTTTGTATTTTGTAACACAGTACGTAGCTGATCAAGCAAGGTATGTAGACCCTCTATTCGTTTCCATTTCATTTGTTAAGTGTAAGCAAGCATGCTTGGCAAGGGTAAGTGGATCAGGTGACAGTTTAACGAGGGTCCTGAGAATTTTACATCTTGTAATTATTATATTATGTTACAAGTATGGACATATTTCTGATTATTGAAGATGTTTTAGCTTATGTTCTGCACAGCAGTGCATTGTAATTGTAAGCATTCTCTGGATCTTGAGGTGCTAAGGCAGCCCCTGACGTAAGGGTGTGGTCCGTGGGGGCTGGGTCCAATCAAGTGAGAATTAAGACCCGGCTAAACATTCAGTTCAGCAGAGATTGATTCATTTACATTGTCTTTGTTCAAAATAAAAAAGATATACACTTTTAGTTTTGGCAGAAATGAGTTCTCTGGGCATTAATTAATTCTTCAAATTTTCTGAGTACAAAATCGGAGCCCCAGCACCAATTCATTCATTCTAGGGCTGTGCTAAGGACACTAAGTACATCTTCTTTTGAACTTTTCCCCATTCAAAAAATTCAGGACAACCATTGTGATGCACAATAAAAACATAACCAGAAATATAAAATGCATTAGTAGGCCTACATTTCTTCTGGCAAAAATATGATTTCTGACATTGCCATGTTCTTTGGTCCTATAAGGTAATTTTAGTTACAAATGGACACTTGCTGGTGTGGGTAGGTAATGAAAAGTAGGTACCAATGACTCGAAATATTGGCAATCACAGCCCTACTTAAGGAATAGTCTAATCCTGAAATAAAAATGTTATCGCTTTTTCTGGACCACCCCATAAAGAGAAAACGAATTATAAATTGATACATTGTATTACAGCAAATCTATTTACTGTTTTATCATTGTAATATTTACTTTACATGACTTAGTCAAGTTTGAAGTCTCTTGAGAATTTTTTATATAAATTAGCGAATTTTTTTATGTGAACTAACCAATCTGTGCTTTTATTATTGGTAATAAACACTTGAAATGAGAATATTTTGAACCTTTTTAAGTGGTTTTGTTCTACAGTTGGTGTCTAATGTTGGGATTTGAGCGAAAAACCCATTTTTTTTTAAGAAAATATGTTCTCTATCTATTCTAAGGGTTTCCATGGCTGCCTCCTCTGCCCACTCCTTTGGCTCCGCCATTGCATTCTACCCCATTATAACACAAAATGCCAAGTGGCTTATTTAGCCATAGCTGATAAGTTGGCATATGTTACCATGTTTGTCTAGCTATTTTTGAATTCATTAAAAAACAATATAATTGTTCTTGAAAATTGATTTATAGATGAAAGTGACACCAGATGTTTAACTTTTACAATGCCCAATGCACAGAATAATGTAGTCTACTTCTTCCGCTTTAGCTTGTGTTAGTTTCAAGTTTTAAAGTGACATTTTCAAATTTTTACATCTATGCAATTAATATTAAGCCTCCTGTATCACTTTTTAAAATGAAAATCTGGTGTAAGTGTATAATAATTATAGACCTATAGGCCAGTTAAGCCTCCTGTGTCATTTTCTAAAATAAATATCTGGACAAAATCCTGTCAGAGGTTTTTCTTTTTGAACTATTTGTTTTAATTTCCTTTGTCCTTGTTCAAAATATTTATTAAATTTGAGATACGTATTTTTGATATTAGAGACAGAGTTTTTTCACTATGCAAAAATAATCACTAAATGTAGGCCTAACGGTCTGGACTCTGGAGTGACACAACAGGTTGCTTGCTTAAAGCTATCATGCTTTGATTTGTTAAACTGATAAGATGAAAAAAAGCCCGCCTGTTCTAGGTCAGTTTGAGGTCTAAATACCAACTTTCTTTTATAGTAGGTAGGTGGCAGCAGCCATATTCATTCAAGAATTAAGAACAAGGCATGACAAACAATAAAAATTTTTTTTTAGGAATTTAATTGTAGAATTATTAGATCATGATAGCTTTAAGCTTCTTTTTTATCATTATGCTGGTATTTTTTACAGGTGGAAAGACTATTGATTTATAGATTTAAGCTTATATACAAGTCTATATGAAAATATTATCACACAATGGGTACTGGGTATATGACATGATGGTACATTTCAGCCGTGTTTTGTCACGTTCCCGCTATTTTCGAACGTTGATTTATATTTTTTTGTGTGGCTGTATATTAATGGTGATCAATATCATATTTGGATTAGATTTGATGAACAACGATGTCATATTCCGAGCTGGCGACTCCTACTTACCACTCCCGCCATTTTTTGAAAGCCATCATCTCAGTGAAATGGAGCGAAAACATAATGAAAGAATGAAAATTTTTCAGAAAATTTTCGAAAAACATGCGAAATTAAAAAATGTTGTTAAAAGCAGTGCTCAAGTTTGTAAGCATCCACATTTAGATTTAAAACATGATACTAACAGGCACGCATATTTTGAATTACCTCCCTTGAATTGTTCTGGGAAAAATCTGTTTTATATTGAGAACCGTGCTGTGAAAATAAACCGCACAGTTTTAGGGAAAGAGGAACTTGGGAAATGTGTATATATGGGAATTGAACGTGTGACAGATGATTATTTTTCTTACACTGATAGTTTGGAGAGAACGGAGGAACCCTTTGAAATCATTCTTGAACATGACTTTATCCGAATCCAGTGTTTTCTAAAAGTGAAGGGGGAAAACAACACAGACGACAATCAAGAGATGAAGCGTAAACTTTTACAAGTTGATTCCGAACCCAAAAACCTGACATTTATATCTAACGCATTCCATGTAGATAAGCCTGAGAGCATATCTGAAATTAACAAAACCGCACTGAACCATTCCAGTATCAATTTTATAAACCCCTTAGATAGTATTTCAAATGTAAATTCCTCAAAACAGACATATCATTCTTTAGAGCAGAACCACATTTTAGACAATGAACCTCTTCAGGCGGAAGCATTAGGAGGTATGGACAGTGAGGAAAATTACGGTCCTAACTGGTGGCAACACAATGGAGGGGAGAACAGTGAAATGGACAATCCGTGGGACTATGATTTTAATCTAAATCTATCTAATAATGGAGTTGAAAGGTCAGATGCAGATTTCGATCAGTTTTTAGTGCAAGTAATACCCAAACCAAGTGTATTTGAAAGAATCTCAAAAATTACACCCCCAAAATTCGCGACAAAAATGAACGTCTTAATTTTAGGGATCGACTCCATGTCCCAGTTGAGTTACCGTAGGAAATTACCCAAAACTGTGAAATATTTAGAGAAATTGAAATCCACCATTTTGAATGGGTATAACATCGTAGGTGATGCTACCACTGCAGCTCTCATCCCCATTCTGACTGGTAAGTAGATTAGAGTTATCTCCCTTTGAGAACAGATTGTAGGGCAGTCAATAAGCGCATTAGAATTTGATGTAGCTAGCTTGGTTATGTTAAGCAAATGGTTGTCGTGGGTTCTAATCTTGGTAGTCTTGTCCATTCATTCTTTTGTTTCTTATAATTAAGAAAATGACAACCTTGTCTCTTTCAGGAAAAGCAGAATTTGAACTTCCTGAAGTCAGAAAATCAGAAATTGATTCTGAAATGGTGGATGTATACCCTTTAATTTGGAAAAAGTTTGAGGAACAGGGATATGCAACTTTATACGTCGAGGATGAACCTTCCCTTGGTGTTTTCAATTTACGATTAACAGGGTTCGACAAACCACCAACAGATCATTACTCACGGCCATTTTGGCTGGCCATCTGGGAATCCCTTTTAAGAACTGAAAGTGAAAGATTTTGTACGGGGAAAACCCAACATCACCATTTTTCTCTTCAATACGTCAAAGATTTCTTCGAGAAATACCAAAATGTTTCAAAGTTCATGTTCGCATTCCATACAGAACTCTCCCATGCGGACAATAATCCAGTGCAGTATATTGATGAGGATTTGACAGATTTCCTTAATTTCTTAAATGTGAATGGTTACCTTGACAACACGTTGGTAGTTTTAATGGCCGACCACGGAGCTCGTTATAATAAAGTTCGTAATACCGTCCAAGGGAAATTAGAAGAACGCCTTCCCATGATGTCTTTCCGATTCCCGCCCTGGTTTCACGAAAAATTTCCAGACGCCATAAAGAATTTAAATTTGAATGCCGAAAAACTTTCCACACCTTTTGATATCCATGAAACTTTACTAAGTGTTCTAGACTACAGTAGACTTAGTCTACCAGTGAATCCAAATGTTCGCGCCATGAATCTGCTGCAGGAAGTTCCGTTAAATAGGACATGTAAAGCAGCAGGCATTGACGTACATTGGTGCGCATGTTTGGTTCAAGTGAACGTTGATGCAACTGATTATTTCGTCCAAAATTCAGCCCTAGAAATTGTGTCGTATATCAACCGAAAGACAGAGAGTCTACGCGATATGTGTATGAAAATACAACTGGATAAAATAGTCATAGCTGTCATGGTTCTTCCTAACGAACAAGTAAGTTACACCGAATGCACCTCTGCATTTTAATCATTTGAGTTCTCTCTTAACCACTGAACCCATAATTCTGACAATAACCATTTGTATGAAGCAAATTTTCCCCATAGCAAACTGCATGGCGTTGCAGAGATGATGTATAACACAATTTCATTTTCTTTCCAGGTGCTAAGATATAAAAGTTCGAAGGATGATGATCAGAGAGAGGCTAACTTTACAAGTGATATTAATATGGACAAAGCCCATTATCAAATCACCATAGAAACAGCTCCAAATATGGGCATATACGAAGCTACAGTTGAAGTTGATTTCCGCAACGAAACTTACAAATATAACATTACTGCTGATATTAGTAGAATTGATCGCTATGGCGACCAGCCAAAATGTGTACAGGAGAAATACCCAAATTTACGGAAGTATTGTTTCTGTCACAAAAATCAGACTCATCTTGTAAATGAGCGACGAAGAGAAATACTTAAAAGAACTTTCAGTGAAAAATCTTTAAAAAGGCAGAAAAGAGAACAGGGCTAGTCGGCCCCGTCGTTAGGGTGGGGTCCATAAGGGCTGGGCCCCAGCAAGTGAGAATTAACACCCAGCAAAACCTTCTTCAGTTCAGCAGTTCAAATTGCAATAACAATCACCATGGTTACCCAAAATTTGTATGTGTTTTTGCATACTTTTTACAAATTTTATATTGGTTTTGATATTGTGTTATACAGTAATATTTAATATTTGTTATTTACCAGGTTTAATCATCTAGTATTTGCTTTACTAACCAACGTTTAGGGACTCACTCTCTTCTACCTTTGTGACTTTTCTAAAAGAAAGTCAGACTTATGGTTTGCTTGCAATAAAATGATAAAAAGGGATTATGTTTATCTAAGTGTTCAGTACACTAATCTCCAATTCAGAGAATGATAAAACTCAAGACTTTCATCACTTAAGCAGTTCAAATGTTTTTAATTGTAGACAATTTACAATCTGAAAGGGGTTACAGGTAAATGCCAGTTGTATCATTGAATTTTTTGACAAAAATTTGTCACTTCTGAAATATTTGGCAATAGTTTGCTGAATAGAATATATTTAGCAAATGATTTGTGGCATTTAATATATTTAGCAAATGATTTGTGGCATTTAATATATTTGGCAAATGATTTTTGGCATTTAACATATATGGCAAATGATTTGTGGCATTTTATATATTTGGCAATAATTTCTTGCATTTAATATACTGGGTATTTATTAGTTGTTTTAAATTATATTTACACTGTGGTTCAGTGTCTAGAACTCGAATTTGGGGATAAGTGACAAATACTCCTAATTCCCTTTGTATAGCATGATGCTATATCATATATTTGATTCCCTTTGTATAGCATGATGCTATATCATATATTTGATTCCCTTTGTATAGCATGATGCTATATCATATATTTGATTCCCTTTGTATAGCATGATGCTATATCATAGATTTGATTCCATTTGTATAGCTTGAAGCTATATTATATATTTGATGGCATGATGCTATATTACTACTTAATTCCTATTGTATAGCATGATGCTATATCATATATTTGATGGTATGATACTCCATTACTGCTTAATTCCCTTTGTAACACAATGCTATATAAATACTTGATTCCTTTGTATAGCATGATGCTATATCATATATTTGATGGTATGATACTCCATTACTACTTAATTCCCATTGTATAGCATGATGCTATATCATATATTTGATGGTATGATACTCCATTACTACTTAATTTCCAATACTTGATTCCTTTGTATAGCATGATGCTATATTAATACTTGATTCCTTTGTATAGCATGAAGCTATATTATATATTTGATTCCCTTTGAATAGCACGATGCTATATTAATACTTGATTCCTTTGTATAGCATGAAGCTATATCATATATTTGATGGTATGATACTCCATTACTACTTAATTCCTATTGTATAGCATGAAGCTATATTATTTATTTGATCCATTGTATAGCATGATGCTATATTATATATTTGATGGTATGATGCTATATTACTACTTAATTCCCATTGTATAGCATGATGCTATATTACTACTTAATTCCCTTTGTATAGCATGATGCTATATTAATACTTAATTCCTTTGTATAGCATGATGCTATATCATATATTTGTTATTATTTGCTGGCTTGTTTTAGGTCTATCTCCACATGTACCAAAACAGGTTGTGAACAAATTGCTAGCCATATATTTTTGTTGACCAAAAAAAGACTTATTTTTTAATAAAACAGAAAAGTTATTTTTATATATATATATATAAGCTTTAGAGTGCAGCGAAACTGTTAAAAAAAAGTTAATCAGGCCTCTAACTAAAGCATCTTGTCCTGATGAGGTTGTTATATCTGAAACATGGTTAGCAGCTTCTGCTAATTAGTAATTCTGCCCATCTTGCCATTCCAGTCACAACAGAGACACAAGTTCTGCTTGCTTGCTTGCACTCATTTTCATAATGTCAATGTATTAGGTACTCTGTTTAATACCTTGACTTCTTTAGACAAATGTATTATTTGATTGGATTGTACACTAGAGAATACAGCCAATCAGAACGATATTACCACTCAATATTATGGTGTCTGTCGTCTACAAACTTTTTTTTCTATTTGTTAGACAGGGTCTGTATTATCCTTGGTGGCAGAGATTCTAAAGATGTACTTCTAGGTAAGAAATGGTGCGTTAGGTATTCGCAATTATACAATATAAGAGCGTCTACTACTTTCAACAAATTAACACAAATATCTTGTGGAGTTTTAATATTAATAAGTTATAACGTAATAAATTAAATAATAACAACAAATTCATGGAAGTTAGAAGAATAATTTTCTGTGGCCAAAATGAGCTCTTATCCAAATGAACGTGGCAAAATGTTTGAAGTTTTGTGTTGAAATTCTAGTATCTGGTAGACTCAACACAAGCACTCACAATTTTGCATAAAATTTAATTTGTGACAGTCCAGAACAATATGTTTGATATGCCGGAAAAATTAATATTCTTCTCCCTCTCCTTCTTCTCCTTCACCTTCAACAGAATCAACTCCAACTTCTTCATAATCTTTCTCAAGAGCAGCTAAATCTTCTCTAGCTTCAGAGAATTCACCTTCTTCCATACCTTCACCAACATACCAATGGACGAAAGCTCTTTTAGCGTACATCAGATCAAATTTATGATCAAGACGAGCCCAAGCTTCAGCAATAGCAGTTGTGTTACTCAACATACAAACAGCTCTCTGGACCTTGGCTAAATCACCTCCTGGTACAACAGTTGGTGGTTGATAGTTGATACCCACTTTGAAACCTGTTGGACACCAGTCGACAAATTGGATGGTTCTTTTGGTCTTGATCGTAGCAATGGCAGCGTTGACGTCCTTGGGCACAACATCACCTCGGTACAACATACAGCAAGCCATGTATTTACCATGACGAGGGTCACATTTGACCATTTGGTTGGCTGGTTCAAAACAGGCGTTGGTGATTTCAGCCACAGAAAGTTGCTCATGGTAGGCTTTCTCAGCAGAAATGACTGGAGCATATGTAGCCAATGGGAAATGGATACGTGGGTAGGGTACCAAGTTGGTCTGGAATTCAGTTAGATCGACGTTCAGGGCACCATCGAATCGGAGAGAAGCTGTGATGGAGCTTACAATTTGACCAATCAATCTGTTCAGGTTGGTGTAGGTTGGTCTTTCAATATCAAGGTTTCGTCGGCAGATGTCATAGATAGCCTCGTTATCCACCATGAAGGCACAATCGGAATGTTCCAATGTGGTATGGGTTGTAAGGATGGAGTTGTATGGTTCCACTACAGCGGTTGAAATTTGTGGAGCAGGATAAACCGCAAACTCCAATTTGGATTTCTTGCCGTAATCGACGCTCAATCTTTCCATCAACAAGGACGAGAAACCAGATCCGGTTCCTCCTCCAAAGCTGTGGAAGATGAGGAAACCTTGAAGACCAGTGCATTGATCAGCTAGCTTCCTGGTTCTATCGAGAACCAAGTCAATCAGTTCTTTTCCCACGGTGTAGTGGCCTCGGGCATAGTTGTTTGCAGCATCTTCTTTACCAGTGATGAGTTGTTCAGGATGGAAGAGTTGACGGTAAGTACCAGTTCGGACTTCATCTACGACTGTTGGTTCCAGATCAACAAATACAGCTCTTGGCACATGTTTACCAGCTCCAGTCTCGCTGAAGAAAGTGTTAAAGGAATCATCTCCGCCTCCGATAGTTTTATCAGAAGGCATCTGACCATCAGGTTGGATACCATGTTCTAAACAGTACAACTCCCAACAGGCATTGCCCATCTGGACACCAGCTTGGCCGACATGGATAGAGATACACTCACGCTGAAAAAAAAATAGATAGGTACAAGCTACAATAATGGATGCTAAGCACGAGGGTCAAGGAGGGGGATTGGCATCTATGACCTTTGACAGCCAAGTTTCACCTTCGTGGTACCTCAAAATTTAGTTTGCAAATTGCATCAGTAGCCAATGAGATGCCTTATGTTCGAATCTCCCTTTGGATAAGAAATATTCTTATGCGACACTCAGAGCTTGCTAGATCCAAATCCGCTCCAAAATACAAAAGTATGCTTACCATATTGAAAGATTTCAAAGAAATTCAAGACCCAAAAAGGTTGGTAAAAGGCTTGAAGCTTGTTGAGTCTGTACTGGTGAACAGAAACAAGAGAACAAGTTGATATGATTCGTATGGTCTGAGTCGAGGTACTTATATTCTCAATTGAACAATGTTGTAGTTACCTTGTTAGTTACATTGTTGATGACAGATTAAGAGATTATTAGGCTAGTTACTGGATTAATCAATAGTTTATCCCTTCAAGGCTGGATTAGTACATAAAAGATACCTTACTGTAATAACAAAATATTGTCACTGTTTTATTCATATATAGGCCTTATAACATTAAACATTTTTCCAAATGTATAAGAGATGAACGACATTATTTGAGGTAATGTCGGGGTGAAGAGGGGGTAAGGTGAGGCCGAAAGCATAACGATTAACTGATGTATAATGTAGAAATAACGGTCATGTTTCATGGTAGCTTTAATAACGCCCGTCAAGAGGCCCAAACTTTCATAGTAGCTTTTAAGAGGCTCGAAATTTCATGGTAGCTTTAAAGGGTACACAATTTCAAGGTAGCTTTAAAGAGGCCCTAAATGTTACGGTAGCTTTAAAGAGACCCGAAATTTCATAGTAGCTTTAAAGAGGCCCATGAAGAGGCCAGAAATTCCTTGGTATCTTTAAAGAGGCCGGTAAAGAGGCCCGACATTTCATGGTAGCTTTTAAGAGGCCCACAATTTCATGATAGCTTTAATGAGGTCCGTAAAGAGGCCCGAAATTTCATGGTAGCCTTAAAGAGGCCTGAAATTTCATGGTACCTTTAAAGAGGCCCAAGATTTCATGGTAGCTCTAAAAAGGCCTGAAATTGCATGGTAGCTTCCCGATATTTCATGGTAGCTTAAAAGAGGCCCGTACAGACGCCCTAAATTTCATGGTATCTTTAAAGAGGCCCTAAATTTCATGGTAGCTTTAAAAAGGCCCACGAAAAGGCCACAAATTTCATGGTTGTTTTAAAGAGGCCCGTAATTTCATGGTAGCTTTAAAGAGGCTCACAATTTCCTGATAGCTTTAAAGAGGCCCGTCATTTCATGTTAGCTTTAAAGGGGTCCGTAAAGAGGCCCTAAATTTCATGTTAGTTTTTAAGAGGCCCGAAATTTCATGGTAGCTTTAAAGAGCCCCGTACAGAGGCCCTAAAGTTCATGGTAGCTTTAAAGAGGCCCGAAATTTCATGTTAGCTTTAAAGAGGACCGTAAAGAGGCCCGTCATTTCATGTTAGCTTTAAAGGGGTCCGTAAAGAGGCCCTAAATTTCATGGTAGTTTTAAAGAGGCCGTAATTTCATGGTAGTTTTAAAGAGGCCAACAATTTCAAGGCAGCTTTAAAGAGGTCCGAAATTTCATGGTAGCTTTAAAGGGGCCCATAATTTCAAAGTATCTTTAAAGAGGCCCGAAATTTCATGATAGCTTTAAAGAGGCCCTACGGAGGTCCGAAATTTCATGGAAGCTTTAAAGAGGCCCTACGGAGGTCCGAAATTTCATGGTAGCTTTAAAGAGGCCCGAAATGTCATGATAGCTGTAAAGAGGCCCGAAATTTCATAGTAGCTTTTAAGAGGCCCGAAATTTCATGGTAGCTTTAAAGAGGCCTGTGAAAAGGCCCGAAATTTCATCGCAGCTTTTAAGAGGCTCGTAAAGAGGCCCGAAATTTCATAGTAGCTTTAAAAAGGCCCAAAATTTCATGATAGCTTTAAAGAGGCCCGGAATTTCATAGTAGCTTTTAAGAGGCCCGAAATTCCATGGTAGCTTTAAAGAGGCCTGTGAAAAGGCCTAAAATTTCATGGTAGCTTTAAAGAGCCCCATAGAGAGGACCGAAATTTCATGGTAGCTTTAAAGAGGCCCGAAATTTCATGGTAGCTATAAAGAGACCCGAAATTTCCTGATAGCTTTAAAGAGGCCCATGAAGAGACCAGAAATTTCATGATAGCTTTTAAGAGACCCGAAATTCCATGGTAGCTTTAAAGAGGCCCGTAAAGAGGACCGACATTTTACGGTAACTTTAAGGAGGCCCAAAATTTCATGGTAGCTTTAAAGAGGCCCGTACAGAGTCCCAAAATTTCATGGGAGCTTTAAAGATGGCCAAAATTTCATGGTTGCTTTAAATAGGCTTGTATAGAGGCCCGTCATTTCATGGTAGTTTTAAAGAGGCCCTGAATTTCATAACAGCTCTAAAGAGGTCCAAAATTTCAAGGTAGCTTCAACGAGGCGTAAAATTTCATGATAGCTTTAAAGAGGCCCGAAATTTCATGGTAGCTTTAAAGAGGCCCGAAATTTCATGTTAGTTTTAAAGAGGCCCGTAAAGAGGACCGAAATTTTACGGTAACTTTAAAGAGGCCCAAAATTTCATGGTTGCTTTAAAGAGGCCCAAAATATCATGGAAATTTTAAAGAGGCCCATACAAAGGCCTAAAATTTATAGTAGCTTTAAAGAGGCCCGTAAAAAGGCCCGAAATTTCACGGTAGTTTTAAAGAGGCTCGAAATTTCATTGTAGCTTTAAAGAGGCTCACGAAGAGGCCGAAATTTCATGGTAGCTTTAAAGAGGCCCGTACAGAGGCTCTGAATTTCATGGTAGCTTTAAAGAAGCCCGTACAGACGCCCTAAATTTCATTGTCGCTTTAAAGAGGCCAATAAAGAGGCCCGAAATTTCAAGGTAGCTTTAAAGAGGCCCATAAAGAGGCCCAAGATTTTATGGTAGCTTGAAGAGGGCCGTGAAGAGGCCCTAAATTTCAGGGTAGCTTTAAAGAGGCTCTCGAAAAGGCCACAAATTTCATGCTAGTTTTAAAGAGGCCCGTAATTTCGTGGTAGCTTTAAAGAGGCACACAATTTCATGGTAGCTTTAATGAGGTCCGTAAGGAGGACCGAAATTTCATGGTAGCTTTATAGAGGCCTGAAATTTTATGGTCGCTTTAAAGAGGCCCAAGATTTCATGGTAGCTCTAAAAAGGCCCGAAATTTCATGGTAGCTTAAAAGAGGCCCGTACAGACGCCCTAAATTTCATGGTAGCTTTAAAGAGGCCCTAAATTTCATGGTAGCTATAAAGAGGCCCATGAAGAGGCCCGAAATCTTATGGTAGCTTTAAAGAGGCCCGTAAAGAGGCCAGATATCTCATAGTAGCTTTAAAGAGGCCCGTAAAGAGGCCCGAAATTTCATAGTAGATTTAAAGAGGCTCGCGAAAAGGCCACAAATTTCATGGTAGTTTTAAAGAGGCCCACAATTTCATGGTAGCTTTAAAGAGGCTCACAATTTCAAGGCAACTTTAAAGAGGCCCGAAATTCCATGGTAGCTTTAAAGAGGCCCACAATTTCAAGGTAACTTTAAAGAGGCCCGAAATTTCATGGTATCTTGAAAGAAGCCCTACAGACAACCTAAATTTCATGGTAGCTTTAAGGAGGCCCATGAAGAGGCCCTAAATTTCATCGTAGCTTTAAAGAGGCCCGTAAAGAGGCCCGCAATTTCATGGTAGCTTTAAAAAGGCCCAAAATTTCATGATAGCTTTAAAGAGGCCCGCAATTTCATAGTAGCTTTTAAGAGGCTCGAAATTCCATGGTAGCTTTAAAGAGGCCTGTGAAAAGGCCCGAAATTTCATGGTAGCTTTAAAGAGCCCCATAGAGAGGACCGAAATTTCATGGTAGCTTTAAAGAGCCCCATAGAGAGGACCGAAATTTCATGGTAGCTTTAAAGAGGCCCGAAATTTCATGGTAGCTATAAAGAGACCCGAAATTTCCTGATAGCTTTAAAGAGGCCCATGAAGAGACCAGAAATTTCATGATAGCTTTTAAGAGACCCGAAATTCCATGGTAGCTTTAAAGAGGCCCGTAAAGAGGACCGAAAGCTACAATAAAGGATGCTAAAGACGAGTGTCAAGGAGGGGGATTTGCATCTATGACCTTTGACAGCCAATGAAAGGCCTTATGTTCGAATCTCCCTTTGGATAAGAAATATTCTTATGCGACACTCAGAGCTTGCTAGATCCAAATCCGTACTGGTTCTTACTGGTTAACAGAAACAAGAGAACAAGTTGATATGATTCGTATGGTCTGAGTAGAAGTGCGTATACTTTTAATTGAACAATGTTGTAGTTTCTTTGTTACATTGTTGATGACAGATTAAGAGAGAAATTTCAAGTATCTTTCAAGAGGCCCACAATTTCTAGGTAGCTTTAAATAGGCTTGTATAGAGGCCCGTCATTTCATGGTAGATTTAATGGGGCCCGTACAGAGGCCAACAATTTCATGGTTACTTTAAAGAGGCCCGAAATTTCATGGTAGCTTTAAAGAGACCCGTAAAGATGCCCGAAATTTCATGGTAGTTTAAAGAGGCCCGTAAAGAGGCCCGAAATTTCATGGTAGCTTTAAAGAGGCTCGAAATTTCATAGTAGCTTTAAAGAAGCCCGAAATTTCATAGTAGCTTAAAGAGGCCCGAAATTCCGTGGTAGCTTTAAAGAGGCCCGTAAATAGGCCTGAAATTTCATGGTAGTTTTATAGAGGCCCGTAAAGAGGCCCGAAATTTCATGGTAGCTTTAAAGAGGCCCGAAATTTCATGGTCTCTTTAAAGAGGCCCCAAATTTCATGGTAGCTCTAAAGAGGCCTGTAATTACATGGTAGCCTTAAAGAGGCCCATACAGAGGCCCTTAATTTCATGGTAGCTTTAAAGAGGCCCTAAATTTCATGGTAGCTTTAAAGAGGCCAGTGAAGAGGCCCGAAATTTCATGGTAGCTTTAAAGAGGCCCTTTAAAGAGGCCCGTAAAGAGGCCCGAAATTTCATGGTAGCTTTAAAAAGGCCCCGAAATAGACCCCGAAATTTCATGGTAGCTTTAAAGAGGCCCGTAAAGAGGCCCATAATTTCATGGTAGCTTTAAAGAGGCCCGAAATTTCATAGTAGCTTAAAGAGGTCCGAAATTTCATGGTAGCTTTAAAGAGGCCCGTAAAGAGGCCCAAAATTTCATGGTCTCTTTAAAAAGCCCGCGAAGAGGCCCCAAATTTCATGGTAGCTCTAAAGGGGCCTGAAATTTCATGGTAGCTTTAAAGAGGCCAATGAAGAGGCCCGAAATTCCATG